ATATTCAGTGGGTACACACAAGACTCCAAGCCGTGGCTGGCCAAAGGCAGCCTTGTGAGTGCCACGAGCTCACTGCAAGCAGCCTCCCTGGGAGTCAGTGAGATGCGGACAGTTACAGAAGCCCCCTCAGAGAGCTGGTGGGAGAGGGAGAAGTGAGAATGGGGCCTAGCCCGAGGGCATGGCTTTCAACAGAGCATCACTGTCCCCACCTTTCTGTGTCCTGTACCCTGCAAGTCTCCCTCCCAGACCCAGGAGAGCCACCCACCACCTGGCGAAGCTGCTCTCCAAGGTGATGGAAGAAGGAAGGCACGAGGAGGAGGGGAAGTTGTCGAGTTTAAGTTAAACACCCATATGAATTTATTAAATCCAGACTGTTAAAGGGCGGCTGTCTGGGAGGAGGGGGGTGGTCAATAGATGAGGGACAAAATGATGGATGACCATGGGTGTCCCACAGACAGCCCCCGGTCCCTCCCCCGCCTGGCCCGCCCCCTTGGCAGTGCCACGTTGGCTTCACCATGATTCCCAATGGTGCTGGGCTGGCAGGGCGAGATGGCTGGAAACACAGAGGAACAGACAGACAGACGGCGCCTCCACAAACAATGAGCCCTGGCCTGCCCCAGCCCCCACATCACACGCTGGGCCCTGGCCTGAGGGAGGGCCTCCTGCCGCCCCAGCCCGATCTGTCCAGGGAAAGGGCGACAGGGAGGGGAGGCGAAGGGGGCCAGGAGGCAGGGGTGGTGGTCGCCAGGAGCCAGAACAGATGAGGAGGATCAGTAGTGGCTAATCTTTTTTCTTGTCCTCTGCTGGCTTTGGAGGGGCTTCCTGGGGCTCGTGGGTGGAGCTGGCCCCCTGGGTAGCCTTGGTGGGCAGGGATGTGAAGGCCTCCTCCCTGGCGGTGGTGGCGGTGGTTATGGTGGTAGTAGGCGCAGGTGTGAGCACCCCTGCTGCTCCGGGGGCCTCCACCACTGGAACGGGTGCTGTCGGGTCCTCGCCACTCATGCCAAACTCATTCACCCGGGTGGGGTCGACGCGGTAGATCCACCGTTGGTAGAGGTAGATAAAGAAAACCACATCTGTGGGGAAAGCAAGGGATGTGAGGGAAGGAGCCTGCCGTATTCACGGTCAGGCAGGTGTGGGGTGGTGGGGTCCTGCAAAGGTTGTGCCTAGCTCCTCAGACTGAGCCCCCAGTCTGGGGCTGTGGCACCTCCCTCTGACCAGGACCCTGAGTCCCGCCTGTGCCCTGCTCTGGTGGAAGCCCCCTGCCTGCCCATCAGGCCTCACCATCCCGTAGGCAGCCAATCCGGTACATAACAGGCATCTTGATGACAAAGGCGAACAGGTCATCAATGAAGGTGTTGAGGGCCTTGTAGGTGAGCATGCGCCAGGGCAGGTGGGCCACAGACTTGAGCTTATAGTTGATGAAAAGCTGGGGCGTCATGGTGATGAAGCCTGCAGCGGAGGTGGAAGGGCATCAGTGCGTGGAGGGAGGGGGCTCCCGACTCCTTCTAACAGGCACTCCCACTCTGCCCTTCACAGCGTTCATCACTCGCCGTGACTCGCCTGTCTGCTTGTTTACTCTCTGCGTTCCCCACAAGACAAAATGCTCCCCTTAGGATGGGAACTGAAATGTACTGTTCACGTCCTCCCAGCAGCCCTCCCTAACCCCAGACAAGTCAGGTACCCCCTTGGGGCTCACCACCCCCGCTCTCCCCTCCCCAACCTGGGTCATCACCATCTGGGGACAACTCTGTTTCCCAAACTGGACTGTCAGTCCCAGGAGGGCAGGGCCAGGCTGACTTGATCATTGCTGCTGGCCACAATGGGCTGAGGAACATGTGTTGAGTGCCTGCACTGAATGGGGGTGCCGAGCTCACCGAAGGTCAGTAGGAAGCCATAGAGCATGCTGAGCACCCAAGAGTACCAGCCCTTGTGCTCCAGATACAGAAGGCTGTAGACAGCGTAGCAGCCCAGGAGTGGGAAGAGGATCCAAGACAGGTACCGAAACGCCATCTGTGGGGTCACAGGGCGGGGCTATGACCCAGTTCCTCGGGCCCCACCTGGCATCTCTGCTCCCCACCCTTACCCACCCATACCTGGTCTGGAAGGCCAGGCCAGGGGAATTTCCAGGTGGCTCGGGGAACTCTGGACTTGACCAGGAAGTAGTTATGGCAGGCAGGGGACACAGAGGGTGCAGCACAGATCATAAAGCATGGGCCTGGCAGTGGCAGGCAGATGGCATGACTCCTGGTCTCTCAGGAGTGTGCGGATACTTAGAGACCACCCCATGGGGCCCACTGCAGGGGACACTCACGTCATCATACACTTTGGTCGAGGACTCAATGTATGTGGACTTGTCTTTGAAAGTTGGGCGGGGGAAGATTCCTGCCACCTTGTGCTCCCGGTCCAGCTGCAGATGAGGAGGGATGCCATGGTCAGCTGCTGTGCTGGCTTCCGCCCCCCCATACCAGAACCAGCCCCTTCCCTTCCCCACTGTTCCCAGTTCCCCTGCCCCACGTGTGACCCAAAAAATCCCCTGGCGTGAAAATCCCCAGTCCTGCAAGTGAGGCAGGCATTGGGAAACCCCCGGGGGACAGCTTCAGGGCAAGACAATCCCCCTCCCCACCTCCCTGCAGCCCTTAAGACAGCATGGCGCCTGCCCTTACCCGGACATCCATGACCTTGGTGATTTTCCAGAGGTCGATGAGGACCCCAATGAAGACGCTGACCTGGACCACAAAGTTGGTCTCATTGTCCAGGATGTAGAGGAGGACCACAAAAGACTGGAAAACGCCGAAGAAGACGGAGCGCACAGACAGTCCCTCCAGGGATTGTCGGCTGTTCCAGAACTGGATATCTGTGTGTGGAAGTTGCGGGGAACCAGGAGGTTTAAGAGCCTCTTAGTCTCTTCCTGCAGCCTCCTCCGACCCCCTGGATGAGGCTGGGTTTTCATGGAAGAGGGTGAACACTCTTATCTCCCATGAAGACTCTCTCATTCATGGGCACCATGCAGAGCACCAGACAGGACTTCTGTGGTCCTCACTTGGGATGTGAGCACCCAGAGTCCAAGGGGACGGTCCCTCTACTGATGGTGACAGTGGCCACTGCCATGGATGGGTGCTTACCATGTGCCAGGTACTAAGGGCTGACCATGGAAGCTATTTCCCTGAGGCTGCATAGCCTGGCCTGGCACTATCTGGACACACACTGGGTCTGCACCACACTGTGGTGCCATCCCACCTCCCCTGGTCAGGGAGATCTGGAGCATGTGTTTCAAGACCACCTCCTTCAGCCCCCCCACCTTAGCTAAAACCATGAAGGGACTGGCCAATGGACATCCTTTCGGCACAGACAAGAGGCCCGGGCATTGATCTCCAATCTGGAGCTCGTTCCAATGTCCCACCTGGATGCTGCCTGGGGGACGCAGGTCAGCCATGCCTCTTTTTAACCCCTGGTCTCCCCAAGAGTAACCTTCTGACCCTAGCAGAAACTGAGTACCTAACTACTGCAGCCATAGGAGACCGGCCCACCACCATGCCTGTCTTACAGTGGCGAAGCCAGGCCCATGGTTGCACAGGGTCAGCTTTGCCCTCAGTGAGCAAGGACTGTGAATCCAGGCCCATCCACCCCAATCCCAGGGCTCAGCACATTCGAGAGGCTCACCCTGGCCCATCGGACCACCCTCAGTCCCGATCGGGAAGAACAGGTCTGGACACAGGGTTCTGGTGGGGCGGGTGGATCCAAGTTCCCCCTCAGACCTGGGAGGCAGCACAGCACAGGGTCACTGCTGTGTGATTTTGGGCAACTGACCATACCTCCTCATGCCTCTTTTTTATTGGAAAAAAGGGACACTGGCTGATCCAACTTATGGTCAGCAGAAGGGTTTAGTGAAATGGCGCCTGCCCAGGCACAGTGAGTGCTCCAGATATGACAACTAAAGGACTTCCTATCGGTGCTTAGCACCAGCTACTGTTCAGTTCTGATGTTATGTTCTTCTAGACGGTAGCTCTCAACAATGGTACTATCATCTTAACAATAATAATACTTATGATTCCTGCCACTTCCAGGAGATGCAGGGCAGCAGGTATCCTCCTTTAGACTGGGATTCTCTGGGGAAGAAAGTGACACACAGGGCCTAGAAGATACAGGTGGGGGCCAGAACTGACAGCCACATAGGACCTGTGTGACTGTGGGCAAGTAACCTAACCTCTCTGAGCCTCCACCTCCTCATCTGTAATGGAGGGGTAACCACAGGCTCCTCAGAGGTTGTGGTTGTGAGGACTCAAGGAGCTAACTGGTCAGGGCACCTGGGACTATGCCTGGCCTTAGAACCTAAGGGACTTTGGGGCACAGACTTTGGGGCCTTCCCTCTTGGCGCCCAGTCCACTCAGCCCTGAGGGGCCTCCCCCAGCAAGCAGCCTGCCAGGCAGGGCGGTAGGAGAAGCTCCGGGGCTTCCCAGCTCTTGGCTTTGGAGTTCCCCAGCCCAGCTTCCTGGTGGTGCCATCAGGCCCGAGCAGCAGGCCCAGCCGCTCCCTCAGTTCCACGCCCAGTGGATGGGAATTTCTGGGTTGGGAGTTCTGGGGTCGTTGTCCCTCCCCAGCTAGCTAGGCCTCTGGAGAGTAGAGGGGAGAGACCCGTGGCAGGGGGAGGACATGTGGGACAGGAGAGGAGAAGAAAGGGGGTGGGGACAGGGTCACACCCCTACCGTTCTTGAAAGCCAGGAACTCAAAGACACTGTGGACGATGGACACGATGATGGTGAGCGCCAGAAGGTAGGGGTTGGTTTCCAGGAGGGCAACCTGGGGGCAGGGGAGCCTGTGAGCATTATCCTGCCCTAGCCCGAGAGTTGACCAATGCAGCACCTTCACTAGCTAGCCCCCTCTTCTCCCAGGACACACTGGCATGACCTGCTGATATCCCCCCCAGACTGCCCTGGGGCTGCCCAGAGGACAGCCAGTCAAAGATGGGTGGATGGGGACAGGGAGGAGAGATGGGGAGCAAGGAATAGAAACTCAACAGTGATGGGCCGGCCTGATGGCGCACTGCTACAGTGCGCCGCTTGGGAGTGCGGCAGCGCTCCCGTCGAGGGTTCGGATCCCACATACAGACCGGTTCCCGCTCACTGGCTGAGCGAGGTGCGGGTGCAACACTGAGGGTTGCGATCCCGTTGCTGGACACGAAAAAAGAAAAAAAAAAAAAAAAAAAAAAAAAAGAAACTCAAGTGATGCTGTACAGCCCCAGACAAGCAAAGCTGAGTCTCATATCACAGACACAGGCAGAAAGATGGAGATATGGGAAGACATTTAAGGATGTAGAGAGAGATAGGGCCGGCCCGTGGCTCACTTGGGAGAGCGTGGTGCTGACAACACCAAGTCAAGGGTTAAGATCCCCTTAGCGGTCATCTTTAAAAAATAAAAATAAATAAAAAATAAAAAGGATGTAGAGAGAGAGCAGAGACATGGAGTCAGAGCCCAAAGTCAGGGAGACAAGGTTTGGGACAGAGGAAGGAAGGGGCGAGTTCGGACCCAGAGGGCTTGGCCAAGCAAACAGAAATGCTGCCACAAAGAGGACAATAAAAGCCTCAGAGACAGGGTCAGCCAGGGCTGGAAGGCTGAGCACCCATTTCCTGCCCACTGTGGGAAGGGGACCTGGGAGGTTGTGAAACTGTGGGCAGGGGAGTGCTAGGTGGGAGGTCCCACTGCAGCTGCCTGGCCCACTTCCCCTTCTACAGCCAGAAGGTGCTGGAAGCCCCTGCCCCGCCCCCAAGCGGCGCTCACCTTTACTGAATCCTGCTCCTCATCTGACTGCTCATACAGCTCGTCGCTCAGGAAGTTCCAGGGTGACTTGGTGCTCTGGGCAGCATAGAGCTGCCAGCGCCAGAGCGAGAGTGGGCAGAAGGAGACACGGAGCGGCAGGCTGGCCAGGCTCTCGTTGATGGGGTAGTAGTCCTTCTGCAGGTTCCAGTAGTCGTTGAAGTAGATGATGGGGTAGTAATCACCACTCACGGCATCAAACTTCACGTCTGCAGGAAGATGGGGCATGGGGCACCACTTAGCCCAGCAGGAGACCAGAATGCCCATGAAGCCCCCAGACATCTGCAGGGACCTGATGGGGCCCCCTGACAGAGACTGGGGTACAGGGGACATTTCTGGGCTATGAGGAGCTGAAGGGCATCTTGACTTCAGTGGAGGGGACCAGGTGGAAAGGGTAGACAGGCCTCAACTGAAGAGGCCAGCTGCGGCTCAGCTCCAACCCACGGCTGCCCCATGAGTCCTGGTTTTATAAAGAAGCCAGAAATCTGGATTTTTCAGTGGTATTGCCTCAATTTCAAAAGTTGGCAACTGATGTACATTTTTTGAAAACAGCTTGTGGGCTGGATGAGACTTGTCTGTGGACCAATTCTGGTGCATGGAGGTCAGTCCTGGCGTCACCAGGGGAGTGGAAGAGGGAGAGGAAAGAAGAGAAAGGAGGCAGAGCACTGCAGGAAGCCCAGGAGGAGTGGAGATCTAGAATGATCTTTCAGGGGGACAGGGCTAGGAGAAGACAAGGAAATGGGCCCAGAGCACACTCCCTGAGGCCTCCACAAGCTGCTGGCAGAGCTGGGGGGCTTACACTGGTCCAGGGGAGGGGGCACGCTGCCCTTCACCCATGGCGTGTGGTCGTCCACAATATTGATGGTGATGTTGGGGTGCCAGTGGGAGATCACCTCCACAGGCCCGTAGTCCTCGGCCCTCTGAGGGAGACAGGGGTGGGTCTCAGAGGCAATGGAATATTAACCACTATAGTGACACTGGCCAGCCCCACACCAGCCTCTATGGACTCCATTGCCCAGGATCCTCCCACCTCACAGAGCAGGAGGCCCACAGAGCTAGAGGCAGGACCTGGATTGTGAGCCAGGCTGCAAAGCCCAGCCTCAGGACAGCAGCTTCCACAATCTTGCACCTCCATGAACAGGGACCACCCTTCCCGCCCAGGACCACCCACTGACAGAGGACGGCTCTTGTGCCATTCCTGTGTGCCTGCCCTGTGCTGGGCTGAGCCCGATCTCTGAGGCCTGGCTGTTTGGGTGTGAATCCCAGCCCTGCCACTTCCTGTCTGTGAGAATTCTGGAAAGTGTCCTCATCTGAAAATGGGACTGGTGACCCCCTCCCAAGGCTGGCGAGAGACTTATGAATGAGTATGTGTAAGCACTGGCTGTAATAATCTTGTCTGGAATCCTCCCCAGACCCTAGAGGCAGTTGCTTCCTAACCCTGTTTCCCAGAGAAGGAAACTGAAGCTCAGGGAGGCTAGGTCTGTCACCATCACCAAACCACCCACTGACGCCCACCAGTGGCTTGCTGATGGTGCCAGAGGAGGACCCCAGTGGTCTGGCTGCTGTGCTATGAAGGCCCCAGATGGTCCCTGCAGGACCCAACAACCCTGCTCAAGTTTACCTTGATCATTTCCGGGTCAGCTTCTGTCTCTCCAGTCAGCAGGTTCTTAGTTTTCTGAAATCGCCTGCGCTTGTACTTGTTGATCACTGTGGGAGGGGTGTTGGGGCAAGGGGTGGACATGAGACCTGCTGGCACCTGCAGGGTCCAGACACCAGACCTCTGCCCACCAGCAGCTGCCCACTGGTCTCCTGCCTTCTACCCTTCCATTCCATTGCTGATAATGTCACCTCAGCTGCCTCTCCAAATCTCAGCCAGTCCCAGTATCCCCATCTTTACAAGGACACCACCATCCACCAAACTGCCCCAGGCAGAAACCTGGAGTCTGCCTTCTGGGGACGCCCCCTCCACACACTCGTTAAATTCCACCACTCATCCCACTTCTGATCTCCCTCCTGGATGGGTGTGGCCACACTTGCCCACTATGACCTTCTCTGATAGGGCAGCCAGTGGTTCTTTAAAACCAAGTATCTGATGTGGATCCTGCTGTGTCAGAACCCCAGATACTCACCACAGCCCTGCCTAACTCCCAACCCTCACCACCTCCCACCTCAGCCCACCTCACTCCTCTCTCCTTGGGCCCTTGGACAGCTCTGTCTCCCTGGAACGTGTCCCCCTGCACAATCTTTTTTCTGGTGGCTGGCCAGTTCGCGGATCTGAACCCTTGACTTTGGTGTTACAACACTGCAGTCTAAATGACTGAGCTAACTGGCCAGCCCTCCCTACATAATCTTCCTGGTTGGCTCCATTTCAGCCCTCAAGTCACTGATTAAGTCCGTTCTTTCACAGGGCTTCCCTAACCACCCTATGAAATGAAAAAGCCTACCCGGTCACTCTCCCCACCAGCTTTACTTCCTTCACAACATGTCATCACTATCCACATTCGCCTGTCCACTGGTTTACTTGTGTACTGTCTGCCTCAGCCAGTCTGCAAACCCCATGCAGGTAGGGGCCGAGCCTGTTTTGAATACTGATGTAGCCTCTGCATAGGCTCACTGACAACCGGTTGAATACATGACTAGAAAAAGGTGGGCTGGGGACAGTTCCCAAGGCCTGGAGCCATGAACATGAGAAACCAGAGTGAGAAACACTTTGGGACTGTGACTCCCAAGCCAGGAGTGGACCTTGCTTCTTGCAAGGGCCAGTTTGGCCACAGACTCCCTGCCACTCTGTCCTGAGTGCTGCCGAGACGTACCAGGAGAAAGGGACATGTGCTTGCTTATGCTCCATGCCCCCACCTCTGCCCTGGCCCACATACTCTTTAGCTCTTCTTCATGCTGGGAAGGAACATGGCCTGCCCCTCTCGTGACTCTCCATCCTGCCCCCAGGACCAGGGAGAGATAGGAAAATGGGAGAGAAAGCTGGCCAAGAAGCAAGAGCAGGGGCTCTGTCTCCTACAAGTTAAAGGACATTGGTGAGTTACATTACTTCCCTGGGTCTCCATCCCTTCTATGGAGACTGGGGATAAAAGCCCTACTTCTTCTTGGCCCAGGTCCTGTGAAGCAGCCCAGAGCCGGCTGCTCTTACAAACACAAACATCATCCTCATCATTTCTAATATCATTAACTCATGTGAGACCTTGTCCCCAAGTTTGGGGAGACCAGTAAACATCCAACGGTGGGCATCCTGGAGAATAAATTCCAAGGGTACATGCTCTGTGGCTATTCACACCTGGGAGAGGTGATCCAGGGAAGGGAGGAGTGCTGGTGCCCAGCACAGCCCCAGGGGCAGCCTGGGCTAGTAAAGGGGGAGCACAGTGGTGAAAGGCTTTGGCTCAGGTACTTGGAGGCATCCAGATGGGGTTATGAGGTGGACCTGGCTCCCATGGGGTGGGAAGAGCCCACTTTTCTCGCAAGTGAAGCTTCTACAGCTATACTATCGAATATGGGGTTGCTGGTCACATATGGCTGCTGAGCACTGAAAATGTGGCTGGTCCAAATTGAAATGTGCTGTGAGTGGAAAACACACTGGATTCTGAAACTTGGTGCAGAAAATAGAAAAGAATGTAAAATATTTCACTTTCTTTACATTGATTGCACAGTGTAATATCAAAATATTTTGATCTCAATAAAGTTAAAATTAACAGGGGCTGGCCAGTTAGCTCACTTGGTTAGGGTGCAACATTGGTAACGCCAAGGTCAAGGGCTTAGATCCCCACACTGGCCAGCCACCAAAGTAAAAGAAAAAATTAAGATTAATATTAATTTCCCCGTTTCTCTTTACATTTTTACTTTTTATACTTTACTCTTTTTTACTGGAAAATTTTAAATGATTTCTCTACCTTATATTCTATGTCCATGAGACAGCATCGCTCTCAAATACTGATTACTGGCCTTTTCGGGAGGAAGGGGGCTTTTCTGATGCCACGCTCTCCTTTGCCCTGGAGTTGGTGGTTAGCCAACTCCAAGTCCTCCCAAGTCCCTGTTCTGAGGGGCCCCAGCTCCGAGGCTGGTGAGGGAGGCCTAGATGATCCTGGTGGACTTTTCAGGTGGGCTGGCTACAAATTTGATTTTGTAGACCACACTAACATCTGTCACTTGATGGTGAACAGAACCTCACCACACACCTCACAACACAACCACACTTCACAGACAAAGATCACATTCACCAGAAACAAAAACCACAGAAAATGCTGGCATCAATCAGGGGCAACAGAATGACCACGTGACCATCAAACAGGGTCAGTAGGACACAAACGAACAGCCACCCACCCAAGTCACATTCAAGGCAACCTCTGAGGCATCAGGCAATTTAAGCTGGACCCCTGCTGCCTCCCACCTGCAGGAACAACACATCCTTGGGGACCATCCCTGTAGGAAACATCCCCTCAGGCCACCTCTGCCAGCTTCTTCACAGATCTCACTACAAGGAAGCCAGCTGAGTGGAACATCCTACAGACACACTAAGAGAGGCGCTCGGCAAACTGTGCAACTTTTCCAACTCAGCTTTAGGGACTGACACAGTATTACCAAATTTACATTTCATCCAGTATAGATGATAACAACAACAACAACAAAATTATCATCCTTTAAGATATTTTTATACCAAAAGAAGAAAGACAGACCTAACCCCCACACATGGAATTACGTCTGTTACTGTGCCACACAAAAACAGCTGGATGGATCTTAACACAGGGTATGTGTGGAATAGTCCTTGATAAAATAAAATTCACTTTAGAAGAATGGAATACCTTCTGAGGGAACCATTCTCTGAATCTACTGAAACTTGGGTATAGTGAGAGATTTCTATGGCTGTCAATCAGGAGACAGCAAACTCAAGGAAAAGGTTACAAGAGCCAGGTAAGCAAAAAGACAAGAATTAACCTACTGGAAAACCAGAAGGTGGGTAGGAGAGGAAAAATAACTGTATTCACTGTGTGGTTTGTATGCGAATAACAATCACATATTTAACACCAAGGTTAAAGGTTCAGATCCCCACACGGGCTGGCCACCAATCAATCAATCAATCAATCAATAACAGTCACATACTCAAAAGTATTTCAGCACTGAGTGTTAATATAATTGAAAGTATATTCCTGTACTGGGATTTCCTCTTCCCGAGTACAAGGTCACTAGATAACATCTAAAACCAAAAAAACCAAGAAATTGTGGCATCAACTTGTTAATGAGAGCTGTGGAAGTTAAACAGCAGAAGAAACAGCTAAATGAATTTGAAGGTGGTTGCCACAGGGAGCAGGATGGGAAGTGGTGGACAGGAGGCTGCTGGATT